CATTACTTTAGAGTTGAAAATGTTCGACGCTATGAGAAACAGTTGCAACAACAGCAGCAGCAACAGCAACAGCAGCAGCAACAGCCTCATCAACTACAACCACAGTCCGTTCAACATACACAATTTAAACTACCCGAAACAGTCAATTGGGCTAGACAAGCTTCAAATGATACATTTCAACATAAACCACAAATGAATTTTGCTGATATACAGAAAGAAGAAGAATTGAACATGAAAAATCAAGTAATAAGACGTTTTTCCACATCTCCCATACAGATTATCTTACTAAGTATATTTTAGCCCAAAACTGAATCACAACCAATTTTGCAACGATCCAAAAAGGAACAGTCACAAGCGCAAAAACCAAATTCATGGGCACAAACATTATTTTCATCATCGTTATTGAACGATTACGAACCATCTGACAGTTTACTCCAGCCTCCACCGTCTGCATCCGCTACTGCAACATCTAATATTCAAAATTACAATCAACAAGCAACATCTGCGGTACTATCCATTTTAAATATTAATGTATGTTGTGGACCATATCGTCTTGTCAGCCGCTGTTTTTCCTTTTGCTTTGATTGAGTGTTTGGGGTTTGCTAACAAATCATTGCTTTATATACGGGTGAAGGTTTATCATTTGCATGTTGCTTGTAAATTGTGATGTTTTAATTCCCTAACCAGTGTAAGGCTCACTTGTGATATTTATGTTGTACACTACTTTCATCCATAGCAATTTCTCAGATGCACAAATGTTCATAATTAACGAATGAGTTTTGAACCGGTCACAACAAAGTAAAAAATCCAAATCTTTTAAAACAAAAAGTTAATACCACTTCGAAAACTCATTCATTAATTGTAAAAATGTTTAGATATAAGTAATGCGGTCGACAAAGTGGACATATTAGAAACTCTCGGTTCGAACTTTGGTACTGGTTTTCTAGAAATCTAGGTGATCTTAGTCTGGCAAGCGTATCTATGAAACAGTTATTCGATTTGAAATAGTCATCAAAAGTTACTTATAAAAAACTATTGTTTAGCAAAATGTCATAGTACATCGATGGATGAGTTTTAGAGCCACAGCACACTGTGACTTTTAGCTTATTTTGAGCTTGCTAATGACATAAATAAATTTTATTTTGTACATGTTTTTTGTGTTGTTTTGTCTATGGTAGTCGAGCATAGTTTCTTCGAAGCATAATAGAAAAAATCTAAAACTTCCTGTGGATAATGAAACTAATTTTTCAGGTTGACTCAAAAAAAAATTTTTCTTCAGCTATTTTTCCAAATATCTCGTGCTCATATACGAGTGCATTGCTCATACTGTTTGTCTTGTGTCAAATGTTTTGTGTATTTTGGTTGTGGTGTTATTTAGCAAACTGTACGTGTAGTACTTTTCAATCTAATTCCTCTTTTTTTGTTCTTATTAGCCGAAAGCTAATGAAAAGCGTGATAATATTAGTCAACGTTCGCCTCAACCTGTCTCAAACTCACAAAAATCGGCCTGGAACACAAATATGAGTCTTACCCAAAAATCATTACATGATATACAAATGGAACAAGCAGCATCAAATCAACACCAACCTGCAGTAAGTTTTGAACATATAAGCGTTTGCTACTCTCCATCTCTTGTTCGAATCTTATTTCGTTCATTTTTATTCAAGAATGAATTACCATCATCGAATCAAAAACAACAGCAGCAGCATATTTTCAGTCAAGTTGGAACAAGTTCTGGAGGATTTAGTTTTTCATCGACGCCACAGACCGGTCAAGTATCAGGAGCAACACCATGGGGCATATTTCAACAGCCCCAACAATCTCATCAACAACAGCAACAAACAGCATTTTGGGAAGAACAACTAAAACCTACTACAAAAAAGTTTCAGTAGGTTTTGTTTTTCTAATGATGGACCGTATTAATATGTTTTTTTTCATTCTATCTACTATTCTCATCTCAAAAAATACTATATGTCAAATTTCCATTTTTGTTCTGTTTAGACCATCATCTACTCCATGGACGGATTCCAGTAATTCATCGTCATCATTACGTCAGAATAATCCGCAATCATCATCATCAACTCGAAATACTGAATTATCTAAAGTTGAAATGGAAACCAAAAATTTGTTCGCCACGGCACGTAGCATTGATGCATTATCTAAATGGACTCAAGCTCAATTTGAACATAATTCGCACGCTGTCGATGGTACGTGTGGATGAGTATTAAATGTCTTTTCTCGTTATATTTCTGTGTTTTTCAGTTCCAACGTTGGTATCGCTATTGAAAGATATCGATAATGTTGATGAAATTGTTGAATATGTGCAACCTTATATTATGGGTTCAACGGACAAAGCTGCACAATTTGCAAAAGACTTTGTTGCTAAACGAAGACAATTACAAAATGCAGAAGTAGGGGAGATAATTCTGAGAAATGAAGGATATGACGAATTTTTATCATGAAAATTTTCAGTAATGCAATAACGCTTGCTCTTTTCTTCTAGCCAAACCTTGATGGTCAAGATTTAGATGAATTAGCTATGTCAACAACTGATGAAGGCTTTCAATTTGCATCATCGAATGGAAATAAGAAAAAACAAAAAAAAATGAAAGGTCAAAAAATCGATGTTAAACAACTTGGCTTTACGGTACAAAATACAGAGAATCGTGGTGAAATTGAAAAAGTACCAATGTGAGGACTGAGAACAGCAGCGATGTGCGTGTGTGCCATGTGTAACGGAACATTTTCTTTTTTTCGTTGTTGTTATATACTTGTGAAAAACAATTTTTTTGTCTTTACCTTCAAAAAAATAAAACACCCTCAGCCATAGTGTACATTTTACTGTCTATTTCGTTGGTATGAGGAATAACCATCAACCCATCCTTCTTAATTGTTTTATTTTGCCGAGTCTGTGTATCTCTAATAAATATCTATAAACACACGCGCACACGCATACTCTCACACCGACAAGTTCATTTTATTACCATTTTAACTTCATTTTTTTCTCTCTCTTTGTGTATGAGTGTGCGCGTGTGCGCATACGGAGTTCACAGTGTTCTTTTAACTTGTTTCGCGCGACAACATCCCCTTCATTCATTCTGATTTTTTTTTGTGCATTTTGGTTTTTCGTTGAAACTTTTTTTTTTTTCAGCTGAAAAATGATATATTGTTGTCTTCTTATTCTTATTCTTATTATATTCTTCTCCATTCACATTAACCATTTATTATGATGGAAAAAAACAATTTTTTTTGGTCGCTTCTCTTTCGCTGACGTTTTGTTTGGTTTCATTTTTCGTATTTTTTTTGTCACAGACTGTACTACTGAAACTATTGTATTCTATTCCACATTGTATATTTGAACAACAAAGTGAGAAAGAGACAAAAAATGATCCCAAATTGACGCATTGTATATATAGAAAAACTTTCGATTTGAATTCACTAACATTTCGTATATTTAATTTTTCTGTCACGATAATTAGATAGCGTTTTCGAGCTTATACAAAAGCCTATAAGGCCAGATCAGTTGTCATCTCTCGATTCTTTTCAGTATACTTCCACGTTAATGTTTGGTCACAACTACCTGAGTTATTACAACGTTTTTGTTTGTGAAGTAAATGGGATATTAAAGAGCAATCAAAGGCAAAGAATTCTCTGAATCCTAAGATACTATGTGGAGAAGTGCAGGTGGAATTTCACAAAAAACGTACGCTTCTGTTTTCTAATATCGCATTTATTTCGTTAAGAAGGAAACGATAATAACTCTAGTAGTTGTGACCAGACATTAACGTTGAAGTATACCGAAAAGGATCGAGAGATGAGAATTAATCTGGCCTTATAGGTTTTTGCCTTATGTATAAGCTCGAAAACCCTGTCTAATAAGGTAAACATGTTTGCGATCAACCGATGCTTTGACATGAGAATGCAGCACTTTGGTGGAGCACTGAAAAAAAAACAAAAATATTAGATTTGAATTAGAAAAACCAAATAATACACCATCAAAATAAATGGCAGAAAACTTTTGATCATGAAATGAGGAAAAAGTTTACATGCCCAAAGTAGGCTAAAATATAGAAGTTTAACAATACAAATGTGAAGAACATGAAAAAGTTCATTTCAACAATGGAGACAAGAAAATGTTCAGTAACATTGGGTTCTCCCTTCTTCTATTAATCATACTGAGGAGGTACACGGAATATAGTGCAGGAAAGCTCGTTTGATGAGAGAGAAGGAATTGACATCTTGCTCTCTCCACAGCTCCTGCATCGCGTATTGTACCTGAAATACGTTGAAAAACGCCAAAACACTCACTGATCAAGGAAAAGCCAGTTTCCATATATATGAAAAGGAAGATCTAATTTAGATCAAATTAAAAATTTATCAAACCAAATGCAATTTATTTCAATTGTGGATCATGATTCAACTTCGCATAGGCGTGGTCTTATCAACGTAAGTGTAAATAGATTTTAGATTGATAGCCCATAACATTATAATTGAATCCAAATTTAGAAGTATTTATTTCTGGTGTTTATGATTATTCATTGGATTGATTGAATATCTGCTCTATCAATTTGGTGTTAAGCTGAAATAATTATTTTATAAACTATTAGTTTTATCTTCCACTTAGAGTTTGCAACATCAAGATAGTATCAAATGACAAAAGAATATTGATATCTTTTCAATTTTCAAAATAAGTATGTGTGGATATCAGTATAATTACGAAACTTAATGAATTATCTAGACAAATCTAGCAGTTTTTTCGGTAATCAACTTCGACCGAAACAAAAATGGACCATTGAGTTTGATAATTGTTATGAATCTTAATCAATTCATGTTTACATGTTGTCATCTTCAACATCATCAAATTTCGAAACAACATGAAAGTCTATCGTAATTTTGTCTTCCAAATCAGATATAACTGAGAAGCCAACTAGACCAAGTAGATGGTGGACTTATGAGATTTCTAATTTTTTTTAGAACTAATAATTAATCGCTTTCTTCTTTGACTTTTCTTTAGTTCATGCTCTGTATTCCTGCAAATATGAATTTCATTTTTTTTTGTTATAAATTTGATAGAAAAATTCATGTTCTTGCGATCAAAACAATTTTTTTCTTACTTTGTTTTTTTGCAGTTCTTTTCTTTATGCCCAGTCTCGATAATTTAATGTGCAAATGGTAACAAGCATCATTTAGTTTTGTTTAATTGATATGTCTAGACGGATGTCCTCTTTCATTGCGAAATATAGAAGAAATGTTACATCAGAGCCTAAGCTACGATTTTTCCTCGCCTTACAATCTCTTGGTACCTTATACATATGTTTCTATCTGAGACAACCTGATACAGCCAGATAAGACTCTGCAGAACAAAAGTTACGAAAATCAATAAAGAATTGGTCAGTCACACTCAGTGACGTATGAGCGCAAACAAAGACATGAGATGGACCCATTGCTAACCTAGATATGGTGCATTAATTCTCACTGTAGATGTTGAGAGACAACGTGTAGATTCTATTTCCAGATGTGGTATTCTTTTTTCAGATGGATATTGTGTTCGAAAAATACATTAGCATTAAGAGCAGAAAACTATAGTGGTGTATCAAAATGAATATTTATCGGAAAATTTATTAAAGCATGACAAGTAACCTTTCTTTATTTTAATTTTTCCTTTCAGAAATTTAAGTTTTCAAAATTTCACCTCTGATAATACGTTTTTACGTACATTTTCGCAGTGTTCATCTGTTTTCTCATCTACTAGATGAGAAAACAGATCTGGAGTAGTACTCCAGATGAGTAGTGAGTACTTTTAAATTTTCGATTCTCATGTTTATGGTTCTACTGTATATTCTTCATAGAATTACTAGAACAATGTTGAATCAATCTCAATTAAAACAAAAAGATCATCAATTATTGATATTAATCGATGATTCGAGCTATTAGTAGTTTTTGTCTTAATTTCAATTAAGCAGACAACTATATTAAAACTATTACTAAACCGGTTTTCAAAGCTAAAAATCTTTTTTTCGCCAAAAATTATTTCTGATCTGTCCAGATTGTATAGCGTGTCGAGTTGTCTATAAAACACTAATTTTTGTCATATCAGATCGATTTTAAGCGCGTTACCTGAAGTTGAAAGAAACTCTTCCGAAGAATTTATTCAACTTCAACTCCCTATAACTGCGCTTAAAATCGGCCTGAAATGACAAAAATTAGTGTTTTATAGACAACTTGACACACTCTACAATTTGGACAGATCAGAAATAATTTTTGACGAAAAAAAGATTTTTAGCTTGGAAAACAAGTTTTCCAAAAAAATCAGTCTCCGAAGGCCTGATGGGAGCTCTCATGGGCATATTCCGTATCAGCATTGTCCGCAACCTATAACCCAATAGTTTTCGCTAAAAAAACGATTTATCAGTGAGGATGGTTCCCTCGTTTATTCTTCTGATATATCCTCAACATTATTACAAATTCATTTTATCCTCTAATGATCAGATGCATATCCGCCTTAAAAAGGTTTATTCATATACTGTTTGATAATGAATTCTTTTATTCATTTTGGTCGATATTTTAAAACTATGTCCTATAGATGAATGTCTATCGTATTATTTTTTGTTGAAATTATAAAAATGGGTTTTGCGACATATTGTCTCCGTCCGATGAATCTTTAGCACTATATTATAGGACAGTTTCGTTATTAAAAAATAAATAGAGAAATGGACGAACTATTTTTGTGTATCTTTTTTGGATGTAGAAACGAGCACTAGAAAATTTTGTTTATACTGTTTTTTTGCTGTACTTTTCCTATGAGTTTTATTTATTTTTAATAATAATTTTTCGGTAACCTCTTTGTAAAATGTTTGAATTATTGATGGTTCTAACTGATTTTATAATCAAACTTTTTTCTTTTTATATCGAGAGATGTTTACCAACAATAAAAATAGATCTGTCATAAAATTTTTGACTTTAGATAGTAGGATGAGCATTTGTTATATGGACAATTTTGTTTTGCTTGATTTACTGTTATTAATTGAGTATCTCCTTCTCGACCTGTTTGTGCATTCGTTAGTTAACTTCTTTGTTAGATTTTGTCCTTTATCCTTTCTTTCTATAGACGAATACAATCTTTTGAATATAGGAGTAACATTCAAAAGTTGGTAATCCGATGTTTTATGCAACATTGTGTAAATTTTACGCCGTTAAATAATAACCTCTGTAATATCATTTACACTTTCAGAATACTTGTATTAGTAATAGTACTAATTAATGTCTCAAGCACAAGATCTTGTTGTTGTTTCGACATCTTCAAAATCATCGTCGGAAATTATTCATTGTATTGAACACCTTTGCTATAACATTGTAATGAAATTGAATTTACATCAATATCCAAAATTGAAAATATACAAACGTCAATATGATTATGTAAATGAAAAAGATCGGGAAAAAATTGTGATGTATGTTAACTTGTTGTCGACAATACATCGTCTGTTAACAACAAAATCTTTTATGAATAAACGAGAGATTTATTATTCAAATGTACAACTATTTAAACATCAATATATATCGGATAAACTCATTGACAACATCCAAAAACATTTTAATGTTGATCGACAACAGTTGGGAATTGTGGCTAGTTCAAAAGGTCTAATAGCTGGTAAATATCATTCTTTTTTATTTCATCTATCTTTTAGAAGCCAAAAATGTTAGTTTCATGAAGGTCTTACGAAGAGTACACGCCTGTTATATGTTACAACTCATAGCGTACTAAAGTTATCTGTTGATTGTTTTTCTCTTTAGGAAATGTTAAATTAGTCAATAATAATGGTGTTTTAATCGATTGTGTCCAATTTCAACGTGGTTTATTAATACCGGATCAAATTGAAAAGATTCAAATCATACAAACGGACTTACAATTCGTTTTGATTGTGGAGAAAGATACTGTGTTTCAAGTAGGTAACTGATGATTATCATTGAAGACGTGGACTTATTAGAATCAAAATGGTGTAGCATATCACCCGATCGAAAAATTTTAAGCGTTTGCTCAGTCAAAACTGATCGCAGATTCGTCTTCTCCATAGTCGATTATCTTGTACGCACTAACTTTTGTATTGGGGTACTGTAGAAAAAAATTCGGACATCGTTTACTCTTTGGTCTCACACAGTAATTTTCTGAAACTTTTTTTCTAAAGTACCCCAATACAAAAGTTAGTGCATACAAAATAATCGGCTATGGAAAAGACGAATCTGTAATCGGTTTTGATCGAGTAAGCGTTTAAAACTTTTCGATCCGATGATATGCAAGAAGTCATGCGATCATCGTGTGTCTTCTCTAGAAAGTAGTGAATATTCTGATTGCTTAACGGTCCCATCGTACTCAGAAATCTTTTTTCAAGAGAAATCGTCTAATCCTAATTAAATTTTTAGTGAATCTCAGCCATATCAACATACATTTACAGTAAAAAGTTGAGCTAAAAATTTTGATTTTTCCTAGACACAAGAGTCAAAAGATAGATCAAATTGGTCTTAAATTAATAAGAAAATTCAGCGCTACAATATAGCAGAACCCAATTTTGAAATTTTTGTTCGATAATGTTTCTCTAACGTTTAGAGTTTTCAAAAAAGCTTCCTGAAAAACCTGGAAAACGTGTTTTGGGAAACAATAAAATTACTGTAATCGGAAGAGGAGACTTCTGATTCTGAGATCAACTCATGCATAAATTGCATAATCAACGTTTTTTTGGGCATAACTTTAGAACTTTTACTTTAGTTATTCGACTGTCAGAGTGGATTGATCTTCTTTTCTTTTTCGCATAATTTTAGCATTTAATTGATGAAGGTTTATTTGTTAAATATCCAAAATGTTGTCTTGTAACCGGTCGAGGCTATCCTGACCATAATACTCGTCAGTTTTTATTACACTTATCCTTACTTTATCCTGATGTACCATTTTATGCTCTAATGGATTGTGATATACATGGCATAGCAATATTATCGACATATAAATATTCTATAACGGCAACTACAGATGATGCAATGAAACCATCTTCGTTGAAAAATTTACATTGGCTGGGTAAGCAGTGCGAAAAATAACTTCTAACATCTCATTATGAAAACTGTTGCACATTTCTTGTATTATGAGAATATTTATGGCATTATTAATCATAGAAATTATACTAAAGTCTACAAAGTTCTCTTGAACCTTGTTTTTATCAAAATGTTCTTTTTTTAAACTCTTCTAGGTATTTGGCCAGAAGAAATTGTTGATCAGCAAACAATTCAATCGATAACAAACGAACGTGAGAAAGGAATGATAAAACAATTTATGAAACGTCCCTATTTGTTGGAAACTTGGTTAAAACAATTAAAAATCTTGGATCAAATACAAAAAAAATTAGAAATTGAATCTATTTATGATCAAGATAAACAATATATGACACAAATATATATACCAAAAAAATTAATTGCAGGAAATTGGTTGTAGAAATATTATTTACGATGGGTTTTATTTTGTTCAATAAAATACTCCACTAGACAAAATGATGTGCATTTTCTTAGATTTCTCAAACCATAAGAATAGATAAGTTGAAGTTTGTTAAGAATATGGTCCAGTTGGAATGCTGATCATGGAAGTCTCACGTTATTTTCATCTATCGTTCATGAGACATAGAGATTTTATGTTTTTGACCTTTAAAAATGTGATTATTGGCTGAACCAGAAGAGGTAATTATTACATTCACTTACCATTGTGTTATTCTCGTCTTCAGCTAGCCACACCATAAATTTTATGTTACCGCCTTCAGTCGTTATAGAGTTGAGCTATTATTTTGTCGCTTTTTAGAAAATCGTTTGAGCTCTAAAAAATTTTAGAATTTAACCTTTTATTTCAAACTTTGAAACAGAGAATAATCTTCGGTTTTTAATGTAAGATTAACTACTGGATGAGTCAGGAGAACTATCAACAGTAGATATTTATGTCTACTGACATATGGATTTAAAAATAGAGCTGTCAATTTTTTTATGGTTTTTCTACAGTTTGTAAGCATTGTCTACCTAAAACAGAGGATAGGTCGTGACTATCAAGGTTTTTCTTTCAGCTGCCCAATGATCTAGTTCCATTATTCATCCTTCAATTTTGAATCGTTTTGGTTTATGAAATGTAATGATCAATTATTGCGATTTAATTGATTAGAGACATAAGGTATTTATAATAATAGCATGAGAAGGTGATGTCGAAGAATGATCGTATCTACGTATTGATTGTTGTTTTGTTTTTCTAGATCGATTGTGTACATGCCAAATTATAGGATGAAAGTGTCAATACAATAAAATAAATATTCGATAACAGACGAGATAATTCAGATATTTCTAAGATGGCAAATATCTATAGTCGGTTAGAACAATAAAAATAAATTGTTAAAGTTAGACAAAAGATCATTGACAAGAAAGTGCGAGGAATTTCATTTATTATTTTAAATGAATATTAAATATGCATTTTATGATAGTCAAAAAATCATCTACATTCAAAAAGAAATTTATTAACAACTGCTATTCTATTGCAAATAATTAAAAGAAAAGAGTATAGAGAGTACGATTAAGACGAGATTCCATAGAGGATAAGACTGTATAGATTATTCTATTAGGATGCAAAGAGTGGAACGCAACATCATCTGGAACGACTTTGTTCGTTGATAAAGTTTGAGAATATGCGGAAACTGTCATTTTAATCGAAAATCAAACAGTGAGAGACAAAAATGGCAATTCATTTAGATATGCCCTGTGTTCTTGTAGTGATACGTGACGATTTTATTGTTACTGAACTTCAATTTTTGAGTCGTATCCAGAGTTGCTTGATGCTCAGGTCAGTAGTGTTCTGCGTGATCGATAATTTCACGATCACGGACGATCGTGATCGTGATCGTGACCGTGTTCGTGCGTGGTTAAGACGGTTTCTCATGATCGTGAACGTGGTCGTGAGCGACAAAAGCATTTTCTCTATGATCGTGATCGTGATCGTGTTCCAAACTAAATAGTTTCGTATTCACGATTGTGGAGTATACGTTCAAAATT